ACCTGCAGGTGAGCGATACCAGCCAGGGGTCAGCTGGTAGCACCAGGACCGAGGTTCTTTGAAGGACCAGTTGTTGTGCCTCCGCTCTGCTCCCCTCCCTCAACGAACATCAGCAGTGTCTGTCACTTGGGGGCACCAACGGCCTATCCCCAGGTGGCGGGCGCCAATCTTGCCCAGGAAGGTACATGAGGCAATGGGGATTGAACCCAAGGCCGAATGCCACTTGTGTGCCTTTTTTGTTTTCCACCTTATAAAGCCCTGGGTGTTGTAGAGGCCTAGGACCAGACCCACGGTGATCCCTGCCAGCGGGCAGTGGCAGCCGATGGTTGTCCTGACAGGATAGGCCACACTCCCTACCCTTCCCCACATTTCTCCCAGCGGACCCCCTATCGCTACTATCTTACCTCAGTGTGACCTGCACTCAGGACCATTACCCTACCAATATTGAGGGCAACTTGGACCTGACAGCAGATACAAGCACCAAGGCTTGGTCCAGACACCAGATACAAGCCTTAAGGTTGGGCAACTTGATGATGATATCTAAAGACCGTCGTCTTTTTTTTTTTTTTTTTTTTTAACAAACTGCCGAGTCTGCCGTTGTTTCAACAAAAAAAGCTCCAGCTCCAATCTATTCGTGGGGTAATGGATGCATTACAAGCATTTTATGAAAAAACTATGAAAAGGCAAAGAGAGATAAAGGAAGCAGATCTATAATTACGTTCTCTCAATGTTAATGGTTTGGCCAAGGCAAACACAGAAAAAAAAGAGCTATAATAAATCAACTGAAAGGGGTGGGGGGACGTACCTGGCCAAATCTTATTTGTGTACAAGAAACATATCTGATGGATTCCTCTGTCCACCAGTGGGCCCATAGATTAGCTTGGCCCTTTCCGAAATTTGTTGCACATGCTAATCACAGTGGATCAACAAGAGTAGCTCTATGGGTCCTCCGTGACTCTAGGATAAAAGTTGTACTCTGGGAAGCAGACAAAGGACAGGAGAGGTGAATATGGACAATTATTATGTTGGAAATAGAGTTAATAGGAGTCATGAATATCTATGCTTCTAATGACATAGGTGAACGAAGGCAATTTTTCAAAATATTTGTAATCATATTCCAAAAGGAATTTCAATGGTCATAGTTGGGGATTTCAATGCGGCTCCTGATAGATGGTTAGACCGTTGGAAATTCCCAAGCCATGCTCGTTATACATTAAAGAGGAGAAAATAATTATTCAGCAATAATAAAATAACTATTCAGCAATTATGTGATGAAAGAAAATTATTTGATTCCTTCAGAAGATTTTTTTCACAAGAACGTATCTATACTTGCATAAGAAATTGTGGTTTATCTCATCAGTCCAGATAAGGAATCAACCTCATTTTGTTGTCAGAGGACTTGGATGGAGCAATAATGAAGGTAAATGTGTTTCCACAAAGTCCCTGTCCACGACAAATTACAAAATCTATGCACTCCTCTTGTCATTTCGGAAAAAAAAAACAGACCTGAGATTTTTTTAAATAAATTTAATAAACCATTACTGGTGCACAAAAACTTTATAACATACATCCAAGATTTTTGAAGCTTTTGGTGTACTGTTAGAGATTACCAAAATTCTTTCATCTTATGGTTCAATAATGACCTAGTATTTCTAGCCAAAAAATGTAATGAATATTTCAAAATAATAACCAAAAAAATATATTCTCAAGAAAGTTGAAGAAACTGAAATTCAAGAGCAAATTTTTCATTATGAACAACATCTCTCAAATTCATCACAAACGCTAGATATACAATCCCTGAAAATTATGCTTCTAACCTTTGCACAACAGCGTTGACAGGGACACCTAATCAGAGGAAAACTAAAGAAATATAATAGAAGGACAAATGGATTCATTATTTTTTGTTATCGCCAAACCGAGAGGAAGAAGATCTTATATTGAGGCATTATCTAATTATAATATTCCTTATCAAGGAGAACTCACTACATCAGCAGGGGTTTTAAAGGTAGCTTTAAGCTTGTAATTTATTAATTTCTTTAAAGATTTTTTCACATCCAGGATTAACGACTCTCTGGATGATCGAGTGTTGCAACAATTCTTCACACGTATGAAGCAGATGTTGTCACACGAACAAAAAGACAAACTAGAGGAGCCAGTTAAAAAAACTAGATTTTGACAACACTGCTCCAGATAGAAGAGGACAAGACCCCAGTTATAGATGGTCTCCCTAAAGAATTTTGGGAGACCATGTAGTTATACTTATATTATGAACACTACAAGCAAATCCAAAGAACACGAGGTATGAGAGCAATTGTAAGGCAAGACATACTTACGTTATTATACAAAAAATTAGACGAAACTTAAATTAAAAATTATAACCTATCACACTTTTAACCTAGGTTGTTTTATCGGACGTTCGGGACCCCCCTGACCGTCCGGGATGTCTGACCGGACTTCTGGTCGGACGTCGGACCGGACAGGGGATGTGCGACCTAGCGCAAGAAAAAAAAAAAAAAAAAAAAAAAAAAAAAAAAAAAACCTTGCGTGAGGTGTATGCCACCGAAATTTTGGCTCATTTGAGCTAGTAAAAAAAAGTTAACCTGTTATTAAGTGGTGAGCTAGGCTACCAGTCAAGCGGCCTGCATCACCCTATTTTCCCGAACGACCCGACCGTATAAGGAGTA